TAGAGAATGGAAAAAGTACAGATGGCAGAGAACACACGAAAATAGGGAGATCAGTCGCAGAGCCAGGAATGAGTACGCACAGGTAAGGAGGGAGGCCCAGCGACAGTATGAAAATGACATAGCATCGAGAATCAAGACTGATCCGAAACTGTTGTATAGCCACATCAGGAGGAAGACAACAAAGACCAGGTGATCAGATTAAGGACAGAAGGTGGAGAACTCACAAGAAATGATCAGGAGGTATGTGAGGAGCTGAACAGGAGATTTAAGGAAGTTTTTACAGTAGAGACAGGAAGGGCTGTGGGAAGAAGGAAGGGCTGTGGGAAGACAGCACAGAAGGGAACATCAAGAGGGAATATACCAACAAGTGTTGGATGACATACGAACAACTGAGGAGGAGGTGAAGAAGCTCTTAAGTGACCTTGACACCTCAAATGCGATGGGACCGGACAACATCTCCCCATGGGTCCTTAGAGAAGGAGCGGAGATGCTGTGTGTGCCTCTAACCACAATCTTCAACACATCCCTTGAAACTGGGCAACTACCTGAGAAATGGAAGACAGCTAATGTAGTCCCCATATTTAAGAAAGGAAACAGAAACTAGTCGCTAAACTACAGACCTGTCACTCTGACATGTATTGTGTGCAAAGTCATGGAGAAGATTATCAGGAGGAGAGTGGTCGAACACCTGGAAAGGAACAAGATTATAAATGAAAACCAGCATGGGTTCATGGAAGGCAAATCTTGTATCACAAACCTCCTGGAGTTTTATGACAAGGTAACAGAAGTAAAACAAGAGAGAGAGGGGTGGGTAGATTGCGTTTTCCTAGACTGCAGGAAGGCCTTTGACACAGTTCCCCACAAGAGATTAGTGCAGAAGCTGGAGGAGCAGGCACACGTAAAAGGAAGGGCACTGCAATGGATAAGGGAATACCTGACAGGGAGGCAGCAACGAGTCATGGTACGTGAAGAGGTATCACAGTGGGCGCCTGTTACGAGCGGGGTCCCACAGGGGTCAGTTCTAGGACCAGTGCTATTTTTGATATATGTGAACGACATGATGGAAGGAATAGACTCTAAAGTGTCCTTGTTCGCAGATGACGTGAAGTTGATGAGAAGAATTTAAATCGACGAGGATAGAGGCAGGACTGCATAGAGACCTGGAACAGGGCTAACATGTGGTACAGTAACTGGCTTCTTTCTCGAATTCAATCCACGCCAAATGCAAAGTCATGAAGATTTGGGAGGGGCAAAGAAGACCGCAGACAGAGGAAAGCTAGTGTGGACAAAGACTACAGAACCATCACTTCAGGGAGAAAGACCTGGGGGTGACCATAACACCGAGCACATCACACCGGAGGCACACATCAACCAAATAACCGCTATAACACGCTGCAGCATCGCGCCTGGCAAACCTGAGAATAGCGTTCCGATACCGTTAATAAGGAATCGTTGGAAGAAACTGTAACACTGAGTATGTTAGGCCCATACAGGAGTATGCAGCACCAGTCTGGGAAACCCTGGAACCCACACCTGGTCAAGCACGGTCAAGAAGTTAGAAAGAGTACAAAAAGGTTTGACAACAAGGCTAGTCCAGAGCTCAAGGGTAAATGTCCGTACGAGGAAAGTTTTAAGGGAAATCTGGACCTGACGACACTGAAACTGGAGGAGACAGAAGGTTCCAGGGGAGACCATAATAACGACATACCAAGATACTGACTGCGGGGAATAGACAAGGGTGGGACAGAGATAGGATGTTCCGAGAGGGACACAGGGACAAGGGGTCACATCAAACTGGAAGCTGAAGACCTCAGGACGAGTCACAGGGACGTTAGAAGTATTTTTCTTCAGTCATAAGTTGTCAGTCAGCACAAGGGAATAGCCTTAGCAAGTTAAGTATGGGAGGCAGGAACCATACAAATTTTAAGGAAGAGGTATGCCAAAAGCTCAGAATCAGAGAGAGAGAGGATCCAGTAGCGATCAGTGAAGAGGCGGGGCCAGTAGGCTAGAGTATCGACCCCTGCAACCACAATTAGGTGAGTACAATTAGCGGTGAGTAACACACCCACACACAGACACAACACAACCACACACCACACTCACACACTCACAACACAGACACAACACACACACACACACACACACACACAACACCACAAAACCAATGGGAATCACCTTTTACCAACATAAATGCTCGAGGACTACCCATTAAATATTTTTTAGATAGAACTTAATCTAAATTATTCATCTGACAAGCATTTTTAACAGCAGAGAAAAAATATTTTTCTTAAATGTAATCTATATACATTATTGAACCATAATATATGACAAATGTTTTCAAAATCTTCATTCGTAATTTAACAGTCACATCTTCAGTGTTTAAGTGTGATATAAAGAATACAGAGAAACAATATTAACCTTTGAAACGTGACTAACAGATTCGAGCAGCGCCCACAATATTTTTTTTTTTTATCACACTGGCCGATTCCCACCAAGGCAGGGTGGCCCGAAATAAGAAAAACTTTCCAACCATCATTCCTTCCAATCACTGTCTTGCCAAAGGGTGCTTTACACACTACAGTTTTTAAACTGCAACATTAACACCCCTCCTTCAGAGTGCAGGCACTGTACTTCCCATCTCCAGGACTCAAGTCCGGCCTGCCGGTTTCCCTGAACCCCTTCATAAATGGTTACTTTGCTCCACGACTCCAACAGGACGTCAAGTATAAAAAAAACCATTTGTCTCCATTCACGTCCTATCCAACAAACAGACGCTCAACAGCATGCCTGCATGGGAAGCCAAGCCCCTCGCACCACAAAACCTCCTTTACCCCCCCCACCTCCCAAAACCCTTCCTAGGCCGACACCCTACCCCGCCCTTCCTTCCCTACAGACTGATACCACACACTCTTGAAGTCATCTGTTGTCGCCTCCATTCTCTCGAACATTCCGAACCACCTCAACAACCCTTCCTCAACCCTCTGTACAAACAGTTTTGGTAATCCCCGCACAACCTCCTCTTAAATTCCAAACTAAATCTACTACGAATTCCTCTGCATTAATATTCACACCACACATTGCCCTCAGACAAACATCCTCCACTCTCCACTGCCTTCCAGCCATCTACTCGCTGCAACATTCATCACCCACGCTTCACACCCATATAAGAGCGGCGTGGTAAACTATACTCTCATAACATTCCCACCCTGCTTTGCCTCCAATGACAAAGTTCTTTGTCTCCAAAGACTCCTAAGTGCACCACTCACTCATCTTTTTCTTTTTTTCCCTCATCAATTCTATGATTCACCTCAACTTCAAAGACCCAGGTGCCGCTGACTAAACTTCTCGCACTCCCAATGATATCTTGAATACGTTCACCACCTCCTCCATCCTCTCTCCCATCCAATCTGATATCAATTTTTCATCACCTAAATCTTTTTATCCCATAAGATCCTCATAACCTATAACTCTATCCCTGTATTCACCTTTAATTTTCTTCTTTTGCCAACTTTTTTTGCACACCCTAGCCATTTCATCCACCAATCTCTGGGCAGCTTCTCTCAGGAATCTTCCCCCAAGAGCACAGTGTCATCATCAAAAGAGCAGCTGTGACAACCCCCACTTTGTGTGTGATTCTTTATCTTTTAACTCCACGAGCCTCTTGCCAAAAGGACCCTCGCATTTACTTCTTTTACAAAACCCCATCTATAAATATATTAAACAACCACGGTGACATCACAACATCCTTTTTGGGGGGTCCTAAGGCCTACTTTTTCTGGAAAAAATTTTCCTCATTTCCTACATACTCTAAAACTTGAGCCTCACTAACATCCCTCTAAAAACCTCTTCACTGCTTTCATCAGTAACCTAACCTCTCTACACCATGACACTTAGCAACATCTGTCCACATGCCAGCCCCCTATCCACCACTGTCATACGCCTTTTTCCAAATTCCATAAAGGCCACAAAGACCCTCTATAGTAAGGCCTTATCAAAATACTGGTTCACTTATATATGTTGGCACTGTAAACACCTGGTCCACAACAACACCCCCTTCCCCCTACGTTTCCCTAAACCCATCTTGTTGTCATAATCTGGCTATCGCAATTCGTCCGTCTTACTCTTAATTCTATTCTTTCATTATAACTCTAACCATAGGATACACTTTATTACACATGTACACTCAACAGACTTAACCCCCTAATAATTTGTGCACTCTCTTTTATATAATACTCTTTTATCCCCTATGTGCCTCTATGACAAAAGGAACTATGGCATCACTCTGCCAATCCCTAGGTACCTTACCCTTTCCTTACATTTAATTTTTATTAAATAATTGCAACACCAACCACTGTCCCAAAAAAACTATATCCCCACCTGCTTAACATTTCTATCTTTTATCCCATCAATCCCGCTGCCATAACCCCCTTTCATTTTAATACCAAACCTACTTCCTCACGAACTCCCCCCACACTCCACAACTGGCTCTTCCTCACTCCAACAAGATGTTATTCGCTCCTTGCCCCCATACACGAAATCACAGCTTCCCTATCTTCATCAACATTTAACAATTCCTCAAAAATATTCCCTCCATCTTCCCAATACCTCTAACTCTCCATTTAATAACTCTCCTCTCCTATTTTTAACTGACAAATCCATTTGTTCTCTAGGCTTTCTTAACTTGTTAATCTCACTCCAAAACTTTTTCTTATTTTCAACAAAATTTGTTGATAACATCTCACCCACTCTCTCATTTGCTCTCTTTTTACATTGCTTCACCACTCTCTTAACCTCTCTCTTTTTCTCCATATACTCTTCCCTCCTTGCATCACTTCTACTTTGTAAAAACTTCTCATATGCTAACTTTTTCTCCCTTACTACTCTTATTTACATTTTACTTTAAGTCTTAACTTGTTTAAAATGAAGGTGAATAAATATGCATAAAACGATATGTTCAATCGGGGCTGACACCTGCAATTAAGCAAATGTATTGTTATCACGAGGCAATTCGAAGGTCACCTGGCATCTGGGGGTATATATAATGGAGCAGAGATGTAGTTGATCATCACCAACATGAAGGTCTTGGTGCTCTGTGCTCTAGTGGCAGCTGCCGCTGCTTGGCCCAATTATGGCTTTCTCAACGACCCTGGTAGAAGTGGTGAGTATACTGTCATAAGTTATATCATTTACCAGTCAGACAGTTCATAATGCATTAGGAATATACTCTTTCATGACCAATATGAAGAGCTATTTTCTCAGTAGTAATATCACCATTTACCTTTCTTCACTGTTTTGGCTTCGTCAATGACGGCTCTGGTGCTGAGTAAATTGTAATATGTTGTGTGCTTTAGCTGTCAGGCAGCTAGTATGTCATATATACATATACTCATTTATGCCCACTGTGAAGAGGAACGATTTTCTCTGTAGTAACAGCACCATTTACCTTTCTTCATTGCTGTTACCATAGTGATTATTACATTCATAAAGAAATCCACGGTAATAATATCTTAATTTCGATCTTATGCAACAGAACCATGCACGATTGAAACGTTACATTTTACAATTGATTCAGAATGTACAAGTAAAATACGATATTAAATATGACAGAAATACATCAGAGTCAAAGGAAACGTAAACTGCCATTACTTAAAATTAGTGATTTTTCTCTCTTTTCCCCTTTTGATCATTTCATTATATATATATATATAAAATAAAATATATATATTATATATATATATATATATATATATATATATATATATATATATATATATATATATATATAAAATAATATATATAAATATATTATATATATATATATATAAATAATATATTATAATATATATATATATATATATATATATATATATATATATATATAGGGCAAGGAGGAATAACATCTTGTAGGAGTGAGGAAGAGCCAGTTGTGAGTGTGGGGGAAGTTCGTGAGGCAGTAGGTAAAATGAAAGGGGGTAAGGCAGCCGGGATTGATGGGATAAAGATAGAAATGTTTAAAAGCAGGTGGGGATATAGTTTTGGAGTGGTTGGTGCAATTATTTAATAAATGTATGGAAGAGGGTAAGGTACCTAGGGATTGGCAGAGAGCATGCATAGTTCCTTTGTATAAAGGCAAAGGGGATAAAAGAGAGTGCAAAAATTATAGGGGGATAAGTCTGTTGAGTGTACCTGGTAAAGTGTATGGTAGAGTTATAATTGAAAGAATTAAGAGTAAGACGGAGAATAGGATAGCAGATGAACAAGGAGGCTTTAGGAAAGGTAGGGGGTGTGTGGACCAGGTGTTTACAGTGAAACATATAAGTGAACAGTATTTAGATAAGGCTAAAGAGGTCTTTGTGGCATTTATGGATTTGGAAAAGGCGTATGACAGGGTGGATAGGGGGGCAATGTGGCAGATGTTGCAAGTGTATGATGTAGGAGGTAGGTTACTGAAAGCAGTGAAGAGTTTTTACGAGGATAGTGAGGCTCAAGTTAGAGAAATGTAGGAAAGAGGGAAATTTTTTTCCCAGTAAAAGTAGGCCTTAGACAAGGATGTGTGATGTCACCGTGGTTGTTTAATATATTTATAGATGGGGTTGTAAGAGAAGTAAATGCGAGGGTCTTGGCAAGAGGCGTGGAGTTAAAAGATAAAGAATCACACACAAAGTGGGAGTTGTCACAGCTGCTCTTTGCTGATGACACTGTGCTTTTGGGGAGATTCTGAAGAGAAGCTGCAGAGATTGGTGGATGAATTTGGTAGGGTGTGCAAAAGAAGAAAATTAAAGGTGAATACAGGAAAGAGTAAGGTTATGAGGATAACAAAAAGATTAGGTGATGAAAGATTGAATATCAGATTGGAGGAGAGAGTATGGAGGAGGTGAACGTATTCAGATATTTGGGAGTGGACGTGTCAGCGGATGGGTCTATGAAAGATGAGGTGAATCATAGAATTGATGAGGGAAAAAGAGTGAGTGGTGCACTTAGGAGTCTGAGGAGACAAAGAACTTTGTCCTTGGAGGCAAAGAGGGGAATGTATGAGAGTATAGCTTTATCAGCGCTCTTATATGGGTGTGAAACGTGGGTGATGAATGTTGCAGCGAGGAGAAGGCTGGAGGCAGTGGAGATGTCATGTCTGAGGGCAATGTGTGGTGTGAATATAATGCAGAGAATTCGTAGTTTGGAAGTTAGGAGGAGGTGCGGGATTACCAAAACTGTTGTCCAGAGGGCTGAGGAAGGGTTGTTGAGGTGGTTCGGACATGTGAGAGAAATGGAGCGAAACAGAATGACTTCAAGAGTGTATCAGTCTGTAGTGGAAGGAAGGCGGGGTAGGGTTTGGCCTAGGAAAGGTTGGAGGGAGGGGGTTAAAGGAAGTTTTGTGTGCGAAGGGCTTGGACTTCCAGCAGGCATGCATGAGCGTGTTTGATAGGAGTGAATGGAGACAATGGTTTTTAATACTTGACGTGCTGTTGGAGTGTGAGCAAAGTAACATTTATGAAGGGATTCAGGGAAACCGGCAGGCCGGACTTGAGTCCTGGAGATGGGAAGTACAGTGCCTGCACTCTGAAGGAGGGGTGTTAATGTTTGCAGTTTAAAAACTGTAGTGTAAAGCACCCTTCTGGCAAGACAGTGATGGAGTGAATGATGGTGAAAGTTTTTCTTTTTCGGACCACCCTGCCTTGGTGGGAATCGGCCAGTGGTGATATATAAAATATATAAATAAATATATATATATATATATATATATATATATATATATATATATATATATATATATATATATATATATATATATATATATATATATATATATATATATATATATATATATGCGATGTTTTATATTATTAAGGGTAATAATGAATTCAAATTTAAAATGTACAGAAAACCTACAAATAACTGTTCCTATGTCCACTATTATTCTTCGCATCAAGATAGAATTAAACTCTCTGTTTTCTCATCAATGTTTTTGAGAGCTTTACGTATTTGTAGTCCAGAGTTCATAGATGAGGAAATATCCAAAATTTATGAAATTGGTAATTATTTGAAATACCCAAGAAACGTAATTGATAAATCTTTTAAAGTTGCTAGAAATACTTTTTACAATCCAAAAAGGGACAACCAGCCTTATTCAACTAAAAATATATTGGTTCTCCCTTACCATGAAAACTTGGTTGATATGCCTTCTCTTCTTAAGACTTTTAATATCAAATTTGTATTTAAAAATCTTGATACAGTAAAAAAAACTTTTGATAAAGAATTCCCCCCAAAATGCTGACGGATGTATCTATAAGATTCCTTGTAAAATTTGCGATAAAGTTTATTACGGTCAAACTGGTAAAAGATGAAAGATGAAATGCAATCTAGTTCATCATTATACACACACGATTAAACCTCTTTGAGCTTGCTGCCCCTGTTCACTTTCCAGTATATAGACACATGAATGTGAAATATTTCAGAATCACTTTGTTGATGAAAGTTTAAATTCTACAATATTGATGACAGGACGATACATTAATTGCTTCTCCTCTATAAATATAAATAAATATTCAATAACTGATCAGGTGAAGGACATTTCAGTTTATTTGAGCAGGAATGAAGAGACAGACAAATATTAGCTAACACCCAAGTTGACACTGTAGTCTTGTCAAAAGTGACTTAGTTGTATTGATTTTTTCTCTTTATGAACCATGGTTAGAAACTATTAGGATGTCTATATATTTCTTTATTTAGGCGCATTCTGTCGACAAATTCTTTATTTCTAACAAGACAAACATGCATAGATTTACAAATACTGTGTCTTTCTTATTGAATTTAAGGAATTCGATTTTATTTATGACCCGAACATGCACGACAAAAATGCCACTATGAGTTTTTCCAATTCATAAGTTAAGGCAGGACAAAGCATAGACAGTTATATTAACACTGAACAGTAAACTCAAAATATATATGAAAAATTACTTCTTATCAGCAATAATATTTGTCTAGATACATAAACGAAAAGTTTCAGATCAGTATTTTGTAAATTATGTATTAAATGTTTGATTCAATATATCATCATTATACTTTATATTCTTCCAGAGCCATCTGACGCCCAAAAACAACATGATGTGAATTATCTGTTGTATAAGGTATATGAAAATATTCGTGATGAAAAACTGAAGAGTATCGGCGTGACCTTCGACCCTGAAGCTGACACATCACACTATACTGACAATGGAGAAGCTGTTCACAAGCTCGTGAAGGAACTGAAGGACAACAGGCTGCTCCAACAGAAACACTGGTTCTCCCTCTTCAATACACGACAGCGTGAAGAAGCACTTCTGCTCTATGATGTTTTCGAACACAGCAAAGACTGGAAAACTTTTGTCAGCAATGCTGCATATTTCAGAAATCGTGTTAATGAAGGAGAATTTGTTTATGCTTTGTATGCAGCAGTCGTCCACTCTCCACTCACTAAACACGTTGTACTTCCACCACTTTACGAGGTCACCCCACATTTGTTCACAAATAGTGAAGTTATCCAGAAAGCCTACCATGCCAAAATGACTCAAACACCTGGTAAATTCAGATCTTACTTTACTGGCAGCAAAAGAAACAAAGAGCAACGTGTAGCATACTTCGGCGAAGATGTTGGGCTGAATACCCACCATGTTACTTGGCACTTGGAGTTCCCATTCTGGTGGGAAGACAAACATGAAGGATATCACCTGGATCGTAAAGGTGAAAACTTCTTCTGGGTACATCACCAGCTCACTGTTCGTTTCGATGCTGAACGCCTGTCAAACTATCTGGATCCTGTGGACGAACTTCACTGGGAAGAGACCATCGAGGAAGGCTTTGCTCCTCATACAACTTACAAGTATGGAGGTGAATTCCCATCTCGTCCTGATAATATTGACTTTGAAGATGTCGAGGGTGTTGCTTGTATTCGAGATTTAATCATTCTTGAGAACCGTGTTCGTGATGCCATTGCCCATGGATATGTTACTGCCAGAGATGGATCCAAAGTCGATATAAATAACTCGCATGGAATTGATGTCCTGGGTGACATCATTGAATCTTCTCCTTACAGCCCTAACGTTGAGTACTATGGTTCTCTCCACAACACAGCTCATATAGTGCTTGGTCGCCAGGGAGATCCGCATGGAAAATATGACTTACCTCCTGGAGTACTGGAACACTTTGAAACTTCCACACGCGACCCAGCATTCTTCAGATTACATAAATACATGGATAACATCTTCAGGGAACATAAGGACAGTCTCACTCCCTACACTAAGGAAGAGTTAGAGTTCAGTGGGGTTGCTATTGATGGTGTTTCAATTGATGGCCCTCTAGAAACGTTCTTTGAGGATTTCGAATACAGCTTAGTCAATGCCGTAGATGACACACCTCAAGTTCCAGATGTGGATATTTCTACTATTGTGTCACGTCTAAACCATAAAGAATTTTCATTCAAAATTGACGTTACCAATAATAATGATCACGAAGTATTGACAACCGTCCGTATCTTAGCATGGCCACACCGTGACAACAATGGTATTAAATACCCATTCAACGAGGGACGCTGGAGAGCCATCGAACTGGACAGATTCTGGAGAAAACGTAAGTAGACTTTTTTTTCGCGTTTTACAATGTTATAAATCAGAAATAATGCATCAATACCGATAAAAAGTAAAATGTTAGATTATATAATATTATAATCACTTTTAAATATTTACATTACAACGTAAAATAACTTACATAATGCACATTATAAATTATGCATGGTTCTTTATCCTGTTAGTGAGTCCTGGTGTGAATCACATCGTGCGCAAGTCTACAGAGTCAGCAGTGACTGTCCCTGACGTGCCCAGTTTCCAGTCACTGATAGAGCAAACTGAGGCTGCACTCTCGGCTGGTAGTAGCGAAGTCGACATTCAAGATTATGTGAGTGCACTTGGAGTGCCCAACAGGTTCTTGATCCCCAAGGGTAACTCAGAAGGTCTGGAGTTCGACCTGGTGGTGGCTGTGACTGACGGTAAGGCTGACGCTGCTGTTGAAGATCTACATGTAAAGACTGTTTTCAACCACTATGGCTACCACGGAGTGTATCCCGACAACCGACCACACGGTTATCCCCTGGATCGTCGTGTTGATGATAAACGCATCTTCAACGACCTTCCCAACTTTGCACAAATTGTTGTGAAGGTCTTCCATCATTAAGGTTCCCGGAAACAACGACCTTGATCAATGGTACTCAACAAAAAATATGAAAACAAAAAGTAAAAGCTGTTCATTTGTCTTAAATAATATACATTAATCTTCTTTAGCTATTTTGTTTATTCCTAATTGTCAGCATAATTTTGTGGAAAAATACTCTTTTCACTAATAAAATCAAGAGTATCATATACAGTTATTGTATAAGTAGTTAGCGCTTAACATAGTTATTTACCTTTCACTTGTACAGATTAATCAAATGAGTTTTTCTGGTTGAGGAATAATGAAGATGGGATGATTTTTTTATAGATATAACTCTCAAATATTTTATCAAATCAGTGTAAGTTTTTTCCTATTTAATTTGTTTATATAATATTTTGAGACTGAATTATTACACAAGTCAGAAAGGCAACATTTTGTGACGTTCTATAAGTGCAGCAATTAATAACTTTTCATCAAATTCAAATATATATAGCAAACAAAAGTGAGACTCCCTTTTCTTAATATTCTGATCAGCTGGATCATTGCAAGAGAAGGTGGTGCTTTGATGCTGGTGAAGAACTTTTAATTCAGGATGTATAATTATTTCCCCCCCCCCTTTCCTTGGATCAAGCCACAATGCACTTCTTTCACCAAACACTGTATAACACCCAGTGATAATAATTATAAAAACAAAAGAATATAATAATTATGGAAACTTCAGGACGTGTTTCCTTAAGTCACCTGCTATCCCTGGTCACCTATCAGTAAATTAGGACATGGGCATTAGTTCATTGGTGTGGGTCGCATCCTGGGACAAAATTTACCGAAATATTCTGTATAACAAGGGCTTTCTATATAGCAGTATGTGATTGATGTCAGCTAGGCCTGTATAACTTGTAGATGTGCTTGCAAAAATAAAGATTATAATTAATATTATTATGTTTTATTATTAACACATCGGCCGTCTCCCACTGAGGTAGGGTGACCCGAAAAAGAAAAACTTTCACCATCATTCACTCCATCATCGTCTTCCCAGAGGCGCGATTACACTACACTTATGAAACTGCAACATTAACTCCCCTCCTTCAGAGTACAGGTACTGTACTTCCCATCTCCAGGACTCAAGTCCTGCCTGCCGGTTAAACTGAATCCCTTCACAAACATTACCTCGCTCACACTCCAACAGCACGTCAAGTTCTAAAAGCCATTTGTTTCCATTCGCTCTTATCTAACACGCTCACACATGCTTGCTAGAAGTCCAACAAGCCCCTAGCACACAATCTCGCACAAAACCTCCTGTACCCCCTCTCTCCAACCATTCCTAGGAATGGCCTCTACCCCGCCTTCCCTCCACTACAGATTTATACACTCTCGAAGTAATTCTATTTTGTTCCATCCTCTCCGCGTGTCCGAACCACCTCAACATCCCCTCCTCAGCCCTCTCGATAACAGTTTTGGTAATCCCGCACCTCCTCCTAACTTCCACACTACGAATTCTCTGCATTAAATTCACACCCCACATTGCCCTCAGACACGACATTTTCACTGCCTCCAGCCTTCTCCTTGTTACAACATTCACCACCCAAGTTTCACACCCATATAAGAGCGTTGGTATAACTATACTCTCATACGGTCCCCGCTTTGCTCCCATGGACAAAGTTCTTCGTCTCCACAGACTCGTAAGTGCACCACTCACTTTTTTCCCCTCGTCAATCCTATAATTCACCACATCTTTCATAGACCCATCTGCTGACACGTCCACTCCTAAATATCTGAATACATTTACTTCCTCCATACTCTCTCCCTCCAACCTGATATCCAATCCTTGGTCATCTATTATTTTTATCCTAATCACCTTACTCTTTCCTATATTCATTTTCAATTTTTTTCTTTTACATACCCTACAAAATTCATCCACCAACCTCTGCAACTTCTCTTCAGAATCTCCCAAAAGCACAGTGTCATCAGCAAAGAGCAACCGTGATAACTCCCACTTTGTGTTAGATTCTTTATCTTTTAACCCCAAACCTCTTGCCAATACTCGAGCATTCACTTCTCTTACAACCCCATCTATAAGTATATTGAACAACCATGGTGACATCACACATCTTTGTCTAAGGCCGACTTTTACTGGAAAATAATCTCCCTCTCTCCTACATACTCTAACCTGAGCCTCACTATTCTCGTAAAAACTTTTCACTGCTTTCAATAACCTACCTCCTATTCCATACATCTGCAATATCTGCCACATTGCCCTCCTATTCTGTCATACGCCTTTTCCAAATCCATAAATTCCACAAAAACCTCTTTACCCTTATCTAAATACTGTTCACCTGTATGTTTCACTGTAAACACTTGGTTTACACACCTCCTACCCTTCCTAAAGCTTCCTTGTGCATCTGCTATCCTACTCTCCGTCTTACTCTAAATTCTTTCAGTAATAACTCTAATATACTTTACCAGGTATACTCAGCAGACTTATTTCCCTTTCATTTTGCACTCTCTTTTGTCCCCTTTGCCTTTATACAAAGGAACTATGCATGCTCTCTGTCAATCCTTAGGTACCTTACCCTCTTCCATACATTTATTAAATAAAAGCACCAACCACTCCGAAACTATATCACCACCTTCTTTTAACATTTCTATATTTATTCTATCAATCCCAGCTGCCTTAACCCCTTTCATTCTACTCACTGCCTCACGAACTTCCCCCACGCTCATAACTGGCTCTTCCTCGCTCCTACAAGATGTTATTCCTCCTTACCCTATACACGAAATCTCAGCTCCCTTTCTTCATCAACATTTAACAATTCCTCAGAATATTCCCTCCATCTTCCTGATATCTCTAACTCTCCATTTAATAACTCTCCTCTCATATTTTTAACAATCAAATCCATTTGTTCTCTAGGCTTCCTTAACTTGTTAATCTCACTCCAAAACTTTTTCTTATTTCAACAAAATTTGTTGAGAGCATCTCACCCACTCTCTCATTTGCTCTCTTTTTACATTGCTTCACCACTCTCTTAACTCCTCTTTTCCTCTTCATATACTCCTCCCTCCTTGCATCACTTCAACTATTATGATTAGTATTAATATTATTATCATTACTATTATTATTATTATTATTATTATTATTATTATTATTAACTGCAGAAAAGAAAAAGGAAAAATAAAATGAAGTAATGTAAATTTAGGAAGTAACATAAGCGGTTGAACAAAAAATAAGTTAAAAATTATGCAGATAGTGCAGTTAAGACGACAGTGTTTAAAAGAGATATCCCTGAGAGCGTAATTATACGATTTAAACCTTGACTATTAAGTTAAAAGTCAATATATGTATATATTGCTTTTGAGAACTTATGTCATATTTACTTCTGTACAAGATGAAATACATTAAAAAATATAATTGTTTCATAAAAAAACTGTTCTGAATCTCATAAAAATAAATGTTTAATGCTAATCTAAATTAAAGACTATAATTAATGAAAGACTTGTGTCAATGAAAAGGCACCAATATACGACACACAAATAAGAAAGGTCTGAGCTTGCTACCACCTGCAGCTCACAAGACTGCCATCCCCACGAGCCCCTTTGGGGCGGGGCAGATGGCAGACCAGAGGCCTAGCTTCTCCCTACGAGCCCCGTGAGGGCGGGGACTGTGGCTAGGCCTAGGGACATTGGTCCCAAAGATGAGGGGGGTACTTGTACCTCCTCCCATGGGAGACTTACGTCTCGAGACACTCCCCAGATAGGGAGCCAAGGCCGGGTCACCACTACTTGGAAAAGACCCGGGCCGGTAGAGTACCGGCGAATAAAAAAAAAAAAAAAAAGACACATAAATAATGATGCGATCAACAGATCAATTTTAGAGGTTAAAAGCTGTTGTCCGACCTAAGCTCATTTGAAAGTCTAGCTTTATCTAAGGTATTACAGCTGGCTAAACAGAAGCAGTAGTTGAAAGGAAGCATACACAACGTTTCCACCCGTGCAGAGGGATCGAACCATGGATACTCATTATGTGAGTTAAGTGATGTACCAACCGAGAAACGGGGCTAACAAGCAAGAAATGTTTCAAAATAAGTAATTTGTAGAAATCTGAAGAAATGTTACGTTATTTTATCCAGCAGTGTTATGTACCATCTGTAACGCAATCAACTGGCATAAATGAGGAAAACATGCACCAAAAAAAAGGCTATTTACAAGTCTATACAGAGATGTAAATAGACTGGATAAATTAAACCTAATGGCGAAAAGAATTCTGGAGCTTAAGATCACTTGATATACACATATAGTACCCATACAAAAGGCAGAGCTATAATGTGAGGCAGTCAGTAGCATATATATATATATATATATATATATATATATATATATATATATATATATATATTCCGTCCTGCCAAGTGAGTGTAAAACGAAAGCCTGTAATTGTTTTACATGATGGTAGGATTGCTGGTGTCCTTTTTTCTGTCTCATGAACATGCAAGATTTCAGGTACGTCTTGCTACTTCTACTTACACTTAGGTCACACTACACATACATGTACAAGCACATATATACACACCCTCGGGGTTTTTCTTCTATTTTCTTTCTAGTTCTTATTCTTGTTTATTTCCTCTTATCTCCATGGGGAAGTGGAACAGAATTCTTCCTCCGTAAGCCATGCGTGTTGTAAGAGGCAACTAAAATTGCCGGAGCAAGGGGCTAGTAACCTCTTCTCTGTATATATTACTAAATGTAAAAGGAGAAACTTTCGTTTTTTCCTTTTGGGCCACCCGCCTCGGTGGGATACGGCCGGTGTGTTGAAAGAAAGAATATATATATTATATAATATATATATATATATATATATATATATAATATATATATATTATATATATATATATATATATATATATATATATATATATATATTATATATATGCAACAAGATCACAGTAAACAGGTGATTTCAAAATATGCAAAACAACACTCTGAAGAATAGAAAAATTCCAAGCGCTTTCGTGACTACTCACATTATCAAGGAACTATCATAGTTCCTTGATAATGTGAGTAGTCCACGAAAGCGCTTGGAATTTTTCTATTCTTTCAGAGTGGTTGTTTTGCTATAATATATATATATATATAATATATATAATATATATATATATATTATTTATAATATTATATATATATATATATATATATATATAATTATATATATACATATTTATATTAAATATATATATATATATATTTATATATATATATATATATATATATAATATATATATATATATATATATATAATATATATATATATATTCATATATATATATTATATATATATATATATATATATATATATATTAGATACATATATATACATATACATATATACATATTATATATAATTACTATATATATATATATATATATATATACATTATATATATATATATTATTATATTTATTATTATCACACCGGCCGATTCCCACCAAGGCAGGGTGGCCCGAAAAAGAAAAACTTTCACCATCATTCACTCCATCACTGTCTTGCCAGAAGGGTGCTTTACACTACAGTTTTTAAACTGCAACATTAACACCCCTCCTTCAGAGTGCAGGCACTGTACTTCCCATCTCCAGGACTCAAGTCCGGCCTGCACGGTTTCCCTGAATCCCTTCATAAATGTTTACTTTGCTCACACTCCAACAGCACGTCAAGTATTAAAAACCATTTGTCTCCATTCACTCCTATCAAACACGCTCACGCATGCCTGCTGGAAGTCCAAGCCCCTCGCACACAAAACCTCCTTTACCCCCTCCCTCCAACCCTTCCTAGGCGACCCTACCCGCCTTCCTTCCACTACAGACTGATACACTCTTGAAGTCATTCTGTTTCGCTCCATTCTCTCTACATGTCCGAAACCACCTCAAACAACCCTTCCTCAGCC